ATGTACAAAGACCTAGAGTTAGAAAACCAAAAGAGAAGAACACACTCGGTATTTCTCAAGATGAAAGAACTGAAGAGAAAATGCAAGCTTTGAGTTGAATATTGCAGAATTCTATGGGGAAAATATTAAATGACATAGGGCGTATCAAAAGAAGGTGGAAGGAATACACAGAGTTACTGTACTAAAAAGAACTGGTTGACGTTCAGCCATTTCAGGAGGTAGCATATGATCAAGAACTGGTGGTAATGAAGGAAGAAGTCCAAGCTATACTGAAGGCACTGGCGAAAAACAAGGTTCCAGGATTTGACAGAATATCAATTTAGATATTTCAACAAACAGATGCAGCACTGGAAGCACTCACTTGTCATGTCAAGAAATTTGGAAGACAGCTACCTGGCCAGCCAACTAGAAGAGATCCATAATTGGGCCCATGCCAAAGAAAGGTGATCCAACAGAATGCAGAAATTATCGAACAATATCATTAATATCATACACAAGTAAACTTTTGCTGAAGATCATTCAAGAGTGGTTGCAGCAATACATCAACAGAGAACTGCCAGAAATTCAAGTCGATTCAAAAGAGGACTTGGAACGAGGGATATCATTGCTGCTGTCACATGGCTTTGGCTGAAAGCAGAAAATACCAGAAAGATGTTTACCTGTGTTTAATTAACTAAGCAAAAGCATTTGACTTTGTGGGCCATAACAAATTATGGATAACATTGTGAAGAATGTTAATTATGCTCATGAGGAACCTGTACATAGACCAAAAGGCAGTCATTCGAACAAAACAAGAGAATACTGCTTGCTTTAGAGTCAGGAAAGGTGTGCGTCAGGGTTGTATCCTTTCGCCATACTTATTCAGTCTGTATGCTGAGCAAATAATCTGAGAAGCTGGACTATATGAAGAATAACATGGCATCAGGATTGGAGGAAGATTCATTAACAACCTGCAATATGCAGGTGACACAACCTTGCTTGCTGAAAATGAAGAGGACTTGAAGCACTTACTGATGAAGATCAAAGACTGCAACCTACCTACAGATTACACCTTAACATAAAGAAAACAAAAATC